GAGCGCCATGCACATGCACCCGAACACCCGAAGCATATCCACTTTCGGCTTCCTTCCAAGCCACTCCACATAGGGCACCCATTTGTCTGCTCCCACATGAGTCAAAACTCTGTTCTTGGCCACACACGCGCTCCGCACCGCATCAGGCCAGAAATAGTCGGGTAGTCCGGCTTCAATGAGCAACCCGCGTGCCGCCTCCGTGATTGTGCGGTTCGCTCGCTCGGCGATGCCGTTCATTGCAGGGGTGTATGGCATGGTGAGGGAGTGCCGAATACCATTCTTCTTCAACCACAACCCAAACTCCTTGCTCAGGAACTCTCCCCCTCGATCGGTGCAGATTGACTTCACTAGACGGTCTTGTTGCCGCTCCACCATCGGGAACCAATCCGTCTTCAACGTTTCAGCCACGTTGCTCTTCTTGGCCAGCACGTACACCCAAGTCATACGGGTGTAGACGTCCACAATAGTGAGGAAATACTCAGCTCCAGCAGCTCCAAGCTTCAGGGGGCCCACCACGTCCATCACCACCTCATCAAGCGGTGCCTTTGCCGTTGCCTCCGAACTAGGGAACGGAAACCGGGTGAACTTGGCTTGAATGCACGTCGGGCAGCCAAGTACCTCATCGGGCTCCCCTTTCACACGTATGCCAGCAACCATCTGGTTCTTCACCAGCTGCTGCAAAATAGGCAGGGCCACATGCCCCATGCGCCGATGCAAGGTGAGCCAATCACACTCCCCCGTAGCCGAAGTCGGATTGGAGAATGCCGCGCTCGCAATAGCGCCCCACATACTCTCTCCGTAGTCCTCCTCCGCTGCTGCCTCGGGGTTCTCCTCACCCTTTTGCTGCTCCTTGGCTGCTGCACCACTCTCCTTAGGTTCACCGAGCTTGCTGGTCCCTCCAAGATTGCACTTCTTAGACTCCTTCTCCTTAGCGCGACCGTCCACGCAATCGCCGCTACCAACGGCTTCACCCTTGGTGCTGACGCTTGCTGCCACTTGCCTCTCCGTAGGCATGGGGACCACAGGGATCTGCCACATCTCGTTGTAGACATCCCTGTCCTCATGAAGGTCCCAAAGAATCCGGTCGCCAATCCTTGCGGTGTAGGTCTTGGCTCCCTTCGAGTTCGTATCCATGCCGGCCTTTGCCAATCGCCGCACGGAAATCAGGTTCGCAGCAAGGCTGGGCACCCAAAGCACGTTCTTGAGGCCCACCATCTTCCCATCAGCACCCTTGAACATGGCCTTGCCCATGCCTTTCACCTCTGCTCGCTGCCCCAAAGCCGATGTGACATGCTTCACCGGTGACGGTTTGAGTTCGGTGAGCAAGTCTGGGCGAGGTGTCATGCTATAGGTAGCGCTGCTATCGATCACCCAATAGTCCGGGAGGTGTAAGGTCACCTTCCCCACAGCTGCTGGCTCCTCAAAGCCTTCATCCTTCTCTGGACCAGCTGGTACTTGCGTCGACACGAAGTAGAATAGACCCGGGTACCGATCGTCGCTCGGGTCCTTGTCGTTAACTCCGTTCTTCATGTTTGCAGCTCCACCTCCGCGACCGCCACGGCCTCCACGGCCTCTTCCTCTCCCTCCTCCTGCTCCTCTACCCTCCTGGCCTTGAGCAGGGGTCCATCCTTCAGGGAGTTTGAAGCAATCGCGCCACATGTGCCCGGTCTTGTGGCAATAGTGACATTCACCGTCAAATCGGCCGCGACCGCGTCCGTAGCTCTTGTCGTCGCTGCCGTAACCGCCACTCCCGCGGCCTCCACTGAAGTTGCTGCCACCAAACCTTCCTCCCCCTCGTCCTCTGCCTCTTCCACGGCCATATCCACGGCCGACGCTCGCTGCCCCAGCGCCATCCGCACTCGCCAACTCACGGCGGCGGAAGTCCTCTTGAAGGATTGCTCGCTTCACATCTTCGAGCGAGAGGCGGGGCAGATCTCGGTTGAGGTTGATGATGAGCGAGGACCATGACTCTGGGAGTAAGGCCAGCAACTTGGTCTTCTTCTGGAGCTCGCTGTAGTTCAAATCAGCTCCCTCTAGCCGTGTCAACAAGTCGAAGAATTTCTGCACCCCGTCTTCCACGGGTTCATCTTCTTCAATTCGTAGCGTCGCCATTTGCCGTTCCAATACCACTGCTACCGCCGCTGTTGCAGGAGCGTGTACACCCTTGAGAGAAGCCTATGCCTTTGGCCCCTTCTCTGGTTCACGCTGGAATGGCTTGATGTGACGGATTTGACTGCTCCCCAACGCTTGCCCAAGTAGGAGGTAGCCTTGTGCGCTCTTCCGCACCCACGGGCTCTTCTCCTGGTCGTTCTCGGGGCGCTTCTCCGTTTCTTCCATCACCTCCAGCAGGTCATAGTGATCAAACACATTCTCCATTCTGAAGGACCATTCAGCAAAGTTGTCGCCGTTGAACTTGTCAAGCCCGAGCACTCTTGGTTCGTCCCTAGAAGGTCCAAGAGTCGGTTGCACGGGCGCCGCGGCTGACTCACGGGCTTGGCCTTGTGCTTGGGCATCTCCATTGCCACCAGCACCTCTGCCACCCCTTTCTTCAGGTCCAGCCATATTCGTAGCTGCTCCAAGGGGCTCTGATACCACTTGTTATAGTCACAATAGGCTTCAATGTGCCTAAAACGAAATATAGAGTGCACAGTCGGATTTCGGCACAGCGGCTTTAAACGTTTATAGCGTTCTGGTCACTGCTTCAAATGACCTGATTCAACTTGGATCTGGAGCGTCTTAAAGTCACCTACAATAGGCAATTTAGATCGCACGATTTCACCAAGTATTGACGACACAGCGTTGGTTTGAATGAACGGCACTATGGCAGCCACTTTAGTCTTAGAACATAAATTAAGAAGAGTTGGGAAGAGTTACAAGTTGGGAATGACTCCCAGCTCCTACAAACCCCAAGAGCCGAGGTACAGTGATGTGGAATAGTGCCACACTGTCCCCAACCACGAAGGGTCTCGAAACTACCCTTCACTAGGGTCTACACCAAGTGAAATGTTACACTACACAAAGTAATGTAGCTATCTTCAATATCTTGAGGTGTACCCTTTTGGCGAGCTTCGCGATCACTTGAATGTTGACACCAGGGCTCGGGTTCTTCATCACAAACTCATCCTTGATTTCTTGATGGGTCTTCTGCACACACCTGCGACACGCCGAACGTTCGACAAGCGACAAAATAGAAACCGCGCACGACAAAATAGAAACCGCGCGGGACACACAAATGACCGCGTTACACGCGACTAGCGATAATTCGCTATTGACTCGACACACACACTCGACATCATGACCCATCATTCACACACAATTATAAGCATGAAATATATATATTATCCCATGCCCTCATACCATTCCATGCACACACACATGCTCGCACACGGACAACAAGCCGAGTGCAAACCGTAGGGTTGCACCAACAAGCGCTTCGGCTTCCGGTTCTCCTTGCCACAGTCCACTCCTCTGCCTACAGGCCACTCGCTCTCAGCTCCACCTTCGGACGAGTCCGTAGAGCCGAGTGGTCAGTATTCAGAGCTTGTGGGCTGCCTCATGTACCTGATGACGTGCACTTGACCAGACCTCGCGTACCCTCTCAGCATTCTGGCGCGCTACATTGCGCTCGGGAGACACCGACAAGAGCACTGGCGGGCTGCACAGAGGGTGCTGCATTACTTGTGCAGTACATCGAGCATGGGGCTCGTGCTTGGAGGGCGGGGTTTAGTTATACTCACTGGACACTCAGACGCTTCTTGGGCAGACGACTAGGCGACTCAGCGGTCGTCACAGGGTTACACTTTCAGTCTCGGCTCCGGTTCAGTTTCCTGGAGGTCTACCCGTTCGTCTTCTGTTCTCAGCTCCAATTGTGAGGCTGAGGTCTACACAGGGGGCCACGGCTGCACAGGAGTTACGCTGGCTGACCTACCTGCTGACCGACTTGTGGCCGTTTGCTTTGCTCGGAGTGTGAGGAGACTTTGTGATCCACCCTGAGGTTTGCTTTGTTTACTTCTTTTGACTGGTCTTGTGACCGCTTGTTGTCCCCCACTTCGCATATGGGGGTGTGTTAAAGTATGCACATATGTTACTGTAGGGTATACTGGGGCACATCATAGAGGGGATAACCCATTAGGGTTTCATACGGTACTTGTATCTCCTTTGTTCCTAGTCATTCTCATTCCTGCCTCACATTTGTAGAAACTACTCAACTTTACCCCTCATGCAACTTCATTCCCTTATTTGTCATTCCATTCTTACTGGCAACCTTATTAAAAAAGCTCTCAAAACATGGAAGGAACAATATGCAACAAGATGCTTCAAATCAAACCTGAAATGATTTTATAAAAGAAAACATCCGCTGAGATAGCATGCGTTATTTGGAGTTGTGAACACCCATCAACCATTGAGTTTACTACTCATGTACCTTGTAGCTTGATTGAAAAGGTGCGAACTTCTGCAGGCCTCAACTCCACAACAAGAGAGTCAGAATGAAGGAAAGATTCTTGGGCTGACCTATTTTCATCAACTGCTGCCCCAACTCCCTCCTCTCCCTCCACTCTCCAGGAGAGAGGTTGCCGCATATCTGCTCGTCTCTGATTGGCCATCAGACTCAACTCTGTCACCTCGTGGATCTGCTATGGGTGGATGGCAATGTGACAGTACGGAATGTTGCGTTTAGAGGCATGAAGGTATGAAGTGTGATTGTGGAATGAGCAGGAAAGGAATAATACAGCCTGGAGTGTGATTGTATTACACCATGGTTCTTGGTTGACAGATAAGTACACCTTATACAAAGCACCTGTGGCTTAAGCATGCAGGCACGTGTGTGAGAAAAGGTGGTAGAGCAGGAGAGAGGGATGAAGGGTAACCAGAGACGTGGCTAGTTGCAAAGAAACAACTGTCAAGGGATGAGCACGATAGCATGTGATAGCAGGTGAGAATGTAAGGTTTGCAGACCCGTTACTTGTTACTCTGAGTGGCAGGGTAACAAAAACGGTTACCTGTTTTGCTGCAAACAATCTCCGAAGGTCCACTCGTGCTGGGAGAGACAAGACAGCATGCTCGCGAGGCTGTAGGCAAGGATAGGCAGGGAAGCACATGGGGCAGGGAGGCAGACGAGGCAGGGAAGAGGCACATATAAGGCATGAAGGGGGCGTGGCTTTACGTCACCTGAAACCAGGATCTTGACAAATTTTTATGAGGGGATAGTGAGACGAGAGGAGGTATTTTGACAGGGGAGCATGGATGTGAGTGGTAAGAGGAGGGCGGATGTGAGTGGTAAGAGGAAGGCGGATGTGAGGGAGAATGTGGAAGTGAAGTAGGATGGAGAGAAGGCCGAGTGTGGGGAGATGTGAGTGTGAAGGGCATGAGCGAAGCACGAGTGTGAGAGAGGAGGGAGCGTGAGTGTGGTTGAAGAGTGTGGAAGGGGTGTGAGCGAGGGGGAATGTGAGTGAGAAGGGGTGTGAGTGTAGGACTCACCTCGTATAGGTGAGCTAGTCTCAGAACAACCTTGCTTGGGGAGAGCTCCTGCACGTGACAGTGGCACAAGCGAGCGCATCATCAAAGAAAGGAGACAGTGGCAGAAAGAGGTGGGCCAACCTTAGTACAATCGGTCTTTGATATTTCTCAAAAAGAAATGGTAGCATCACAGCACAGCACAGCACAGCACAGCACAGCACAGCACAGCACAGCACAGCACAGCACAGCACAGCACAGCACAGCACAGCACAGCACAGCACCGCACCGCACAGCACAGCACAGCACAGCACAGCACAGCACAGCACAGCACAGCACCGCACCGCACAGCACAGCACAGCACAGCACAGCACAGCACAGCACAGCACAGCACAGCACAGCACAGCACAGCACAGCACAGCACACCATCCTCTGATAGAAGTTCTCGTGTGAGTGCTGGTGGTGAGAAAACGGGGGTGATGATGAGTGAGGGGGCAGTCAACTACGCGTGTTGTAGGACAGTGAAACGGAAGGCAAGTTCCGTGCAAGGTGAGTTCCGTGGAAATGATTACTGAAGTGAAGGATACGTGAGTGCAGTAGGAACGAGACACAGTGCTTTTGAGGCGCCCCTTACAACACAACACAATGCTTGGAACGAGGTGGCTGTTACCTGCAATGATATGACAGCAACGTTGGGAGGGGCCTAGAAGGAGGAAGGTTCTGAGGCGCCTAAACAACATTTGTTTAGCATGGCTGAAACACTGTGCTTGCAACGAGGAGGCTGTTACCTGCATCGAAATGACAGCAGCGTTGGGAGGGACCGAGTAGGTGTCAGGGCTGCTGGATGACGTGGAAGATGCTGACGTGGATGATGCTGACGTGGAGGGTGGCTGGGTGAGGGAGTAGTGCCACGTGTAGCTGCCTTGTGCTGCCCTGATGGACTGTTGAGTCTGCAGGCATAGGGATAGAGATATGGCGGGTTGGGATGGATGGAGAGAGGTTCGAGTGTATTGGGGGTTGAAACAGAAGCAGGGAGGGTTGCAGGGAACGCAGAGCAGGAGTGGGAGTGCATGGAAAAGGTGGGAATCATAGTGTGGTGGAGAGGGTGTCAGAATAAGAGTTGAATCGATTGATTAGAGAGTACGATACATGGCCTTAACTAGCACAAACTAGGAGGGGTTGGGTGGATAAGATGCAATTGAAAGGGGATCCTAGGAGGATCCAACCAATCCAACTAACCAACCAAAGGAGGATGAGATTTAGCTGAAGTGTGGCTATGATGACCCGCTGTGCATATGTTAGATGCTTTTGAATACTCGAATGAGAAAGAGAAAGAGAGGGATGGAAAGAGATTGCTTCAACTGCAAAAACAAGCTGCAGATGGCTAGGAGCCGAGCCGTTGTGCGTGTGGGACATGATTAGAAAATTATAAAGAGAACGCTAGGAGCCGAGCGGTTATGCGAATGGAAGAGATAGATGATTGAAAGAGGGATGACAATGGCACGGCTCACTTCAGCAGCAAAGGCGAGCTGCAGAGGGGTTTGGAGCTGCTGTGCGTATGGGACATGCTTTGAAAAGTATAAAGTGAACGAGAGGAAGAGATAGATGATAGAAAAGAGGGATGAGAAGGGCTCACTTCAACCGCAAAGGCGAGCTGCAGAGGGGTTAGGAGCCGCTGGGCATGCTGCCTCCTCCACTCGCTGCCCCGCCCCAACCCTAGACGATCCTCCCCTTGCCCCCCTTGCTCCCCTGCTCTTTCTTCAGAGTCCGTGTTGGGGTGCAGGCCAAAGCGCAGAGAGCCCACAACCTGCAGGGCAGAGGAGAGACGGTTGTTGCAGGGTGGGAGAGACGGTTGTTGCAGGGTGGGAGAGACGGTTGTTGCAGGGTGGGAGGGACGGTTGTTGCAGGGCGGGAGAGATGGAAAGGTCTGACTTCAACAGTGAAAAGGCAAGGTGAAGAGGGGTTATGAGTGGCTGTGTGCGCTGCCCTAAGCGCAGAGAACCTACAACTTGCAGGGCAGGGGAGCGATGATTGTTGACTTTTGAGACGCCTCAACAGTCAACTTGCAGGGCAGGGGAACGATGACTGTTGAAGGGTATGAGAGGTGGACGGGGCTTGCTTCGTGCGTTTTTTTAACCGCATTGTGAGCAGACCAAATCAAAGCAGCGAGATCCTTTTGAGTCGACTCAAAAGTGACTGCCAGATAGTTTAATGCGTTTCTGGCGGCGCTGCGAGCTAGCTCGAAGCGCAGAGATCCCATGAACCCTGCAGAGCAGCCGGGGAGATCCAGTTGTCGCCGAATGGACGTCTCTCGCTTACACGAGATTTGAGCCCGTGGCCAAGCCCGTGGAAGTGTGGAAGTGTGGAAACTCATGCTGTGATTACTTTACTGCAGCAAGCACTCACGGTGAGGAAGCGGGTCTTGTTTCCCAATATGATCCTCTCCTCCAGTGCCTCCCCCACGCCCTTGTCGTCCAGCGATGCCAGCTTCCTGGTGCCGCGTGGAAGGATGGGGGTAGATGGTGGGGGGTGGGGGGAGATGGGGGGGGGGGATGTGGGGGGAGATGGGGGAGGGGGTTTGGGGGGAGATGGAGGGGAATGGGGGGAGATGTGTGGGGGTGATGGGGGAAGATGAGGGGAGTTGGATGTCACGTTTGGTTGGAAAACGCTGGAAGTGTGAAAGTGTGAGAAACATGGCTCGCCTCTATTCTATCTATGCACATCAGAATGAAGACTAGCCGTCGTGTAGCTGGCTTGCCATGGGCTAGTCATGGACATGGCTGCAACATGGCTTGCAACATGAGCATGGCTTGCGCATAGCCCATGGCATGCCATGTTGCACAGGTGAGGGCAAGGCACCAACACATAACTTTTTATGCATGCAGCATGGCAAAAAGGTGACTTTTGAGTCGACTCAAAAGTCACCTCGTCACTCTCCTTGCATGCACCATGGCAGCACTGCATGCACCCCCCTGTGCTACAGAGCCCTCCCACACCTGTGAAGCATGACCTAACCTGTGAAGCATGACGTCACCTGTGAAGCATGACGTCACCTGTGAAGCATGACGTCACCTGTGAAGCATGACGTCACCTGTGAAGCATGACGTCACCTGTGAAGCATGACCTCCATCTGGCCAGATGCCAGGCTGGCAGCGCCTGCCGCCCGGTCCACAAGCACCGACAACTGGGCTGCTTTGTCTTTTATGAAAGCTCCAACCGTTATCTGAAGTGAAGAGCAAGGAGTCGAGGAGAGAGAAAGGGAGGAGGCCAAGATGTGCCAATTCATAGACAAAGAAAGAGCAACACAACGGAATGATAGCTGCAGGGCGCGTCAAGCAGGAGAGAGAGGAGAAAGGCTCTTGTTGCCATCACGTTGACTCTGGTTGACTTGCCAGCGCCACTCCTTCGATGGTAGATAGGACCACTTCCAACCGAGTGCACTTTGTTTTGCCCTCGAGTTGACTCTGCTGACTCTGGTTGACCTTGAGTTGACCCTGTTGACTTGCGTTGACTCACCGGATAGTAGTTCCCTGCTATGGGGTCGGTGACGTTCAGGTGTCAGTCGGACCGGTAGTCCACCACCTGACAGTGGGGTGGCGGGGTGGGGATGGTGGGGTGGTGGGGTGGTGGGAATGGTGGGAATGGTGGGGTGGTGGGAATGGTGGGAATGGTGGGGTGGTGGGAATGGTGGGGTGGTGGGGTGGGGATGGTGGTGGGGTGGGAACGGTGAAGGGAGAGGGCATGGAGAAGGGAGGCGGTCTGAACGGGGTCGGTGATGTTAAGGCTCCAGTCAGACCGGTAGTCCCCCACCTGACAGTGGCGTGGTGGGGTGGGGATGGTGGGGATGGTGGGGATGGTGGGGATGGTGGGGATGGTGAAGGCTGAGCTGCAGTGAAGGCTGAGCTGCAGTGAAGGCTGAGCTGCAGTGAAGGCTGAGCTGCAGTGAAGGCTGAGCTGCAGTGAAGGCTGAGCTGCAGTGACGGCTGAGCTGCAGTGAAGGCTGAGCTGCAGTGACGGCTGAGCTGCAGTGAAGGCTGAGCTGCAGTGAAGGCTGAGCTGCAGTGAAGGCTGAGCTGCAGTGAAGGCTGAGCTGCAGTGAAGGCTGAGCTGCAGTGAAGGCTGAGCTGCAGTGAAGGCTGAGCTGCAGTGAAGGCTGAGCTGCAGTGAAGGCTGAGCTGCAGTGACGGCTGAGCTGCAGTGAAGGCTGAGCTGCAGTGAAGGCTGAGCTGCAGTGAAGGCTGAGCTGCAGTGACGGCTGAGCTGCAGTGAAGGCTGAGCTGCAGTGAACGGGGATTGGACCTCCTAGTCCCTCTTACTGCCATTTCAAAACTCGATCACTGCCATTTCAAAACTCGATCACTGCCATTTCAAAACTCGATCACTGCCATTTCAAAACTCGATCACTGCCATTTCAAAACTCGATCACTGCCATTTCAAAACTCGATCACTGCCATTTCAAAACTCGATCACTGCCATTTCAAAACTCGATCACTGCCATTTCAAAACTCGATCACTGCCATTTCAAAACTCGATCACTGCCATTTCAAAACTCGATCACTGCCATTTCAAAACTCGATCACTGCCATTTCAAAACTCGATCACTGCCATTTCAAAACTCGATCACTGCCATTTCAAAACTCGATCACTGCCATTTCAAAACTCGATCACTGCCATTTCAAAACTCGATCACTGCCATTTCAAAACTCGATCACTGCCATTTCAAAACTCGATCACTGCCATTTCAAAACTCGATCACTGCCATTTCAAAACTCGATCACTGCCATTTCAAAACTCGATCACTGCCATTTCAAAACTCGATCACTGCCATTTCAGACCTCCATTACTGTCTGCTACTGCTGATGCTGATGAAGTAGTGAAGCAAATATAAGAGCACCAACGAAGTTTGGACGGGTATGCATGCATGCAGCCCCACCCATCCAATGTAGCTTCAGCGATTGGAGTAATAGTGAAATTTCTTGCTGTTGTTGATGGATGCTAGCTGTCGTATGGAGGAATTTCCCTGGTGTGTAAGTCGTGTTTTGAGTCGACTCAAAGCACGACTCCCTGGTGTGTAAGGAAGGAACAGCTGACCAGTCCCAACAGCGCCTCGCCTGCTTGATGCGGCTCCAGCCAGCCACTGGAATCAGAGTAGAAGGTGTTGCTGCTGTTGCAGTGAGCCGTGACGCGAGCTTCCAGGCACCATCAAATCAAGGACTGTGTGCACTCATTTGAAAGGACTGTGTGCACTCATTTGAAAGGACTGTGTGCACTCATTTGAAAGGACTGTGTGCACTCATTTGAAAACAAGAAACCCTCACCCGCTTGAGGTAGCTGCGGCCATTGGAGTCGGAGTAAAAGGTCCTGCTGCTGTTGATGGGCGCTGTGAAGAGAGCTTCCAGGCATTGACATTCATCCATTCATGTGCACTCATTCCAAGGTTAAAGCCTCTCACCCGCTTGAGGTAGCTGCGGCCATTGGAATCGGAGTAAAAGGCCTTGCTGCTGTTGATGGGCGACACGAAGCGAGTCACCACCTCGTGGTTGTGACCCTTGGAGGGCAGCGGACCCACCTGTGCAACACGCTCACACACAGGCACAGTGTAGACAACAATGAGGGGAGGCTGTGAGCGAGTAGCATACACTTTGATTTGGCAAGCAGCAAGAGTAGTGAAGCGGGTCAACGTCTTGAAATAGTAGTGAACAGTGAGCAGAAATGGTATCATACGGCACTCACGGAATAGTGCAGCTCTGCGTAGTCCTTCCCTGGATACACTCTGAAAACCTGGGAGTTGGGAGCGGTGCAGAGCGGCAGAGGCACAGGGAGAAGGAGGATGAATGAAGGGTGGTGAGTTATCAGAGGGAACAGGCAGGCAGCGAAAGAACCACTGGGTGGCATTGGGTTGAGAGGGGCAAGTTGATTGAACAGCAAGCAAGCAACTTACGTACCACTGCGTTGGATGTCTTATGGGAGGGTGAAACGGAGCAAAGCAATCAGGGCATCCCAGAGGAGGCAGTTGAATGTAGCGTAGACACAAGTGCACTGAGTGTGGCAGACACGCGTGCACTGAGTGTGGCGTGGACACACGTGCACTGAGTGTGGCGTAGACATGCGTGCACCGAGTGTGGCGTGGACACGCGTGCACTGAGTGTGGCGTAAACACACGTGCACTGAGTGTGGCGTGGACACACGTGCAATGAGTGTGGCGTGGACACACGTGCACTGAGTGTGGCGTGGACACACGTGCACTGAGTGTGGCGTAGACACACGTGCACTGAGTGTGGCGTAGACACACGTGCACTGAGTGTGGCGTAGACACACGTGCACTGAGTGTGGCGTAGACACATGTGCACTGAGTGTGGCTGTGCGATCATTACGCAATCATTAATCGAGCAATGTATGTGCGTGCGTGTCGCTGTGATAAAAAGCGTACAGCAGCGTGAACAGTGCAAAAAAGGACCGAAAAGCATATCAGACAAGGCAGGGGCAAGAGGTGCGGAGGTGGAAGGTTTCCAAACGTTCTCAAAACACCAAGCCAGAATCAAGAAAGTGAAGGAGGTAAGGAGGAGGAGGAGGAGGAGGAGGAGGAGGAGGAGGAGGAGGAGGAGGAGGAGGAGGAGGAGGAGGAGGAGGAGGAGGAGGAGGAGGAGGAGGAGGACGAGGAGGAGGAGGAGGAGGTGGTGGTGGTGGTGGTGGTGGTGGTGGTGGTGGTGGTGCACTCACCTCAGAGATCCATGGAGTGACCTGGCGGCTGTACTCCTCCACGATTGGTCCACGCTGGATGTGAATGGGCACCTGGTTCCACGCCAGCAGATCAGCCAGGAAGAAGCGACAAAAATCAAAGGCCTCTTGCAAAGCGGCTTTACTCCACTCCACCCATCAGAAGCCACTCCATACTGAAGGCACGGCACAGCTGGCACTGGCAGTGCGGGAGAGGCATGGTGCATCATGGTAGGCGGTGCCTGGCCCATGGCTTGAGCTGATTAGATTCGAAGCACTGGCACCACTAATGCAGCAGGTGAAGCATGTTGCACATCAAGGCAGGCACTGCGTGTCTGCCTGTGACTTGAATGGACTCAAACGCCAGTGGCGCCACCAGTGCAGTGCGCGAGAGGCATGGTGCCCTGTGGTGGGGCGTTTGTGACCGACCCGCCTACTGACCTGGGAGGTGGCGTTGTTGGTGATGGGCGCAGCTGGCTTGGAGGGTTGGAAGATGTATGCGCCGCCAGCCAATGTTGCATACTCCATCATGCTGGCGCTCACTGCCTTGCCCACCAGCTGCCATGGCGTGGCAGGGCGTGGAGTGGCGTGGAATGGCATGAACGCGTGGCGTGGCATGATATTGCATGGCATGGCATGGCATGGCGCGATATTGCATGCGATGGCGTGGTATGGCATGCCATGGCATGGTGTCATATTGCATGCGATGGCGTGGCATGGCATGGCATGGCGTGATATTGCATGCGGTGGTGTGGCATGGCATGGCATGGCATAGCATGTCGTGATATTGCATGCGATGGCGTGGCATGGCATGGGATGGCGTGATATTGCATGCGATGGTGTGGCATGGCATGGCATGGGGTGATATTGCTAGCAATCGCGTGGCATGGCATGGCATGTCGTGATATTGCATGCGATGGCATGGCATGGCACGATATTGCATGCGATGGCGTGGCATGGCATGGCATGGCATGGCATGGCGTGATATTGCATGTGATGGCATGGCACGTCGTGGCATGGCAACATGTGCAGGTGAGGGATGGCGTGGTAGCAGAGCAGATGACACAGCGCATGAAGCAGGAGTGCACAGGGCATGTAACAGGAGTGCACAGGGCATGTAGCAGGAGTGCACAGGGCATCATCACACATGCTTATGAGGCCGGAAAGAGAGTGTTCAACAGACTGCAGGGTCTTATCAGTGTGAGTGTGTCTTGCTTTGTCATACTACTTATACTGTTTACAAACGAAAATGTGACAAATATTGAAGCGGAACCGATGGTTGCATTAGTACACATGCGAGTATACATAGTTGAGCTAGGATGGGCGGTGTGGTTGGGAACCTTGCCAACATTATTGCCCCCCACCAATAAGCTGGGTTGAGGAGTTATTGGGGGGACCAATAATGTTGACCAAAGTGGGTCAACATTATTGAAGGGGGGCAATCATCTCCCAACCCAACCTTGGGGGCCCAATAATTGGGCCAAGGTTGGGTTCCAACCTCAAACTAGGGTTAACCCTAGTTGTGCACCTCAACTAAGTTTGGGTGCCTATCTCTAACCAAAACTTATAGGATAGATGCAGGTTACAATGCAGATGATAATCTGACAAAAAGAACAGAAAAGAGAGAGAAAAGAGGGACAATATTGGCTTGCAGGAAAATACCAGCTTGATCCTTGCTATTCTCAAGAGCTGGTTTTTGTCATGTTGCCGGTCCCTTGCCCTCACGTGAAAGAAGGGTGGTTTTGAGACGTCTCAAAACCACCCATCTTTCACAGAACTGATTTTTGTCATGCTGCCAGTCCCTTGCCCTCATTAGACACCCATTCCCATCCCATCACCACCCAACCCTTACCCCTTTCTCTTTCGCCACACCACTCACCACAGTCTCCCCCATGCCATTCGCACTCCGAGAGACCAGCTCCACCCGTTGCATGCCCGCCGCTGACTTGGAGAACGAGACGCGCAACGCCGCCCGCTCCCCACCGCCCCTGTCGGCGCCAGCAGCCCCAGTGCCACGAGCCCCCCCCACACCTTGCCACCCTCCCAGCACAACAGTAGCATCCCCTTCCTGCCCGCTCCCTCCTCCTCCTCCCCCTCCTCCCCCTCCAACTCCTCCTCCCTGACCCATATTGCCCCCCTCTGTCCCCCCACCACCTTGCAACCCTCTTCTTCCACTGCCCCCCCTGCTCGCTGCCTCCCTCCCTCTCCTCTCCCCACCGTTCAGCTCGCCCTCCTTCTTCTCTCCACCACGCGCCACCATCCGCCGCCCTCTCGTCTTCCTCCCCCTTGCTGCCTTTCTGGGTTGCGTTTCAGCTGCCCCCGCTGCTGCTTCTGCCCCGGCTGCTGCTGCTGCTACAGAGGGCGTTGCTGCATCTGCCTCTGCTGGTGCTGCTGCAGTGTCATCGACGCTGCTCCATACAGCACTCTCATACGCCCTGCCGGAGGTGTCTGGATGTGGGGATGGGTGGGTGGATATGGGGGATTCCTGTGCGTGGATAGGAGAGTCAACTGTTGAGTGGTGCACAGGGGTGACGAGACACGAAGCACACTCGTGGTGTGCACAACTTGCTTGCTCTCTCTCTCGAATGGTCCTTCATTGGATGTAGCATGCAATACATCGGTGTAGTTTATATATTCAGGCCCAGGCATGCAAGAGAGCTACCTAAGGCAGCTCAAAGTCCGGTTCGAGAATGTGCAGAAAGTCGCCCGTGTCAAGGGGCTCATCCTGGTAGGCAGAAGTCGGTGCCTCGGCCTCGAAGGCCGCCAGGGTCTTGGCGCATAGGGCGTTCGCCTGGCCCCTCTGCAGGGCAATGGACCACCTTTGGCGGTACGAATGGAACAGTTTGTTGCCTCTCGTGAAGAAGGCTCGGCATTATGGAAGCGCTTCGCCGCCAGGTTAGCACATAGGCGCATGAACTCAAATACTCCGGGGGAGCAGCACCCGTAAGTCTCTACTGCCATTGCTATGAACCCCACGCACTGCTGCCGGTTGCGGTATTTATGCTCTTTCACCCTTGCCACCGCCCTGGCTGCCCACCCCACTCCCCGCCTGGCCGTCTCGTCCTGGAGGAAATGGGGTCGGTGACTGTTACGTCAATGAGCCACACGGCTCCTGAGTCGGGGTGGCGTATGGCGAGGTCCGCTTTGAGCCCTCCACCGGTGTGTAAATTGTTGTCTACTTCTGGACCGCGAAGCCCGCCTCCGTCGCGATCCGCTCGCACTCAACTCTTAGCGCATGGTGGGTGCCCGTTCTGCCCTTCCCCGTTCCGCACCGAAGTAGGTGATTAGGTAGGCGCGGGTCGAGTATCTCCACTTGGTCGTTGCAGTCACAGAAGGCCGGGACGAGCTGGGGTATGCCAAGGCGGAAAGCAGCCATAGAGGTGAAGTAGTGGGCTGGCAGGTGGTGCGGTCGGTTGATAGGCAGGGACATGAGCCAGTCCCCTGCCCCTGGTCCTGTGAGGGACTGTAGCCGCTGGGTATGGCCGAGCAGGGGGTTCGGTGCCATCACCCTGCTCTCTTGCACTGCAGCAGTTGCCCTTGTTGCATGGACGTGGAGGGAGATTACATGCTGAAGTTTCAAGAGATCCCCCCCCTCCCACACTTTCTGTAGAATGCCAATTGCCTCTTGTGGCAGGGTCTCCTCCGCGGCCGCCAAACGGAGGGGGAGCTGGGAGCGGCTTGAGGCGTCAGCGGAGAAGAGGGGGAGGAGTGCCAGCACTTGGGAGTGGGAGGGAGAGGAAGACGCGGAGAGGAGGTGAAAGGCGGCCGCGGTTGAGGCTAGGTAGCTCGCGAACCGCTCCAAGGCGGGGTCGGCGATGCCTAGGCCTCCGAGTGTAGGTGGGAGGGAGGCCTGGCGCCAGACCCGCAGCTGCTCAGGGTGGTGGCGTGGCAGAGGGATGGCGGCGGATGTTAGGAGGGTGTGGAAGTTTCCTTCCCCCCAGGATTCCCAGTCAGCGAGGGGAAGGGAGTCCGGGGGGGTGGTGCGGAGGATGTAGGAGATACGGCGGCTGATGCAACGCGTAAGAAGTAGGAGGCATACTTGCGGCTCCAGCTCGGAGAGGAGTGCCGATGGCTCCACAGCCTCGGCCATTCGGGTGCGAAGAAACGTCGCGCAGTCCTCGGGCGGACCCACGGGGCTGCCCAGAACCTTGAGGCCAGAGGGCGACCATGGCACTCCTGACGGCAGGTGCTGGAGTTGAGATGACGTGGGTGACCGGTGAGGCCGTTGAAGGCGGCGGTGCAGTCGGGTCCAGGGCCGAGTAGTGTGATGTCGTCTCCATAGGCGAGAACGACGATTGTGGGATTGGCGGCGGCTACTGCCCTTAGTGCGGGGTGGATTGCGGCGGAGAAGAGAAGGGGGCCCATGGGGTCCCCTTGGCGTACTCCCCTCGAGGAGCAGAGGTTGTTGGCGTGGAAGGCGGCATCGATGATGAGTTCGGACGGCGCGCCATATGAGCTTCGGGTGAAGGGGACTAGGAACTCCAAGGGTGAGTCACGGAGGCCCGTGAAGACCGCTCCCCTCTCCACCGCGTTGAAGGCGTTCGAAATGTCGAGTTGGAGGGCGAGATGACCGTCGTTTTCCTCGAGGTAGGTGCGTGTTGCGTGGATGATTGCCTTCGCACCGCCAGGCATGGCAACGCCGTACTGAACGGGAGCGAAGTGGCGGCGGGCGAACGGCGCGGCGAGGAGGAGCGCCGCTTTTGCGATTACGCGGTGAATCACCTCGCCCACAGCGATGGGCCGGGTTCCGCCCTCGGGTTTCGTAAATGCCAGCAGTCTGGAGGCCGTGAGCAGCGTCGCTGCCTCATTGGAAAGTTTCCCTGCAAGCGCCGTGTTGACCAGGGCCAGTAAGTGCTCGGCCACGTCGGGGTGGCGACGTGCAGCGTCCCTCACATGTTCGAATGTCATATCGATGGGCCCTGCCCCCACTCCGTTTTTGCATGTCGCGAGTATCTGCCTTAGGTCCCTTAGCGTGATTGCAGGTGCAGAGGGAATAGAGTGTTCGTCGAGCCAGGAGGGAGGGTCTGCTGTGCTCACGGGGTGGCGAAGGCGCAGGGCTTCGAGAATCTCAGGTGAGCAAGGGCTCACAGGCGTGCTCTCCAGCGCCTGCAGGGCTTTGGCGAGGCTTCCCTTCTTTGCCAACCCAGTCGCCCTCGCCAGTTTCCCTGTGTCATCAGGTGCATGTCGAGGAGCAGGAGGGAGGTTGACCGCATCGCAGGCAGCAGTATAGAGTTCACCCCACCTCCCCTGGCGGAAAAGCAGCAACCATGCAGAAATCGCAGCCCAATCGGGTTTGCGAGTTGAGCTGGCACGAAGTGTCAAGCGCAGGAGGAAGAGGAGGAGGGTCCAGGCTTGGATTGAGTCAGGTTCCTTGGCCAATCGCAGCAGGGGGGTCAGGAGGCAGGTGGCGGGCGAGTGGTGTTTGGCGAGAGTCACGGAGCACCTGGATGTCCCAGATGGCATTTCCGCAAATTTCGCGTTGTCACCAGCTAGTTGCTTCGGTGAGAAATGTGGTTGGGGCGTTCTTTTAGGCGGGAGTCGATTGACTTGGTTGGCTCGGGGGTGCAGGTCTGGCAGCCGCGCGGGTTGGAATTCGGGGGGGAAAATCAGATGCGCTTCGGCGAATTTGTCGACCCCCACCTTGGTGAACATCCTCCTCCACCCTTTGTTCGCCTTGTTCCTCGGTTTTTGAGCTTGGGATACCCTCCCTCGAGGGGGTATAAGATTGGTCACCCAAGGGCTCATTCCTCAGTTCCTCGCTCACCCTCTCCTCTCCATCAGCCCTCTCCTCCGGCCTTTGCCCGTTAGGCGCTGCGGCTCCCCTTAGTAGGTTTTCCTCGGCGATTAAGCGCCTCGCAATTTGGCCATAGCCCCCTCCTCTTGTCTGGGGGCTCTCGTGGCCTCCCCTTCCGCGCCCGCCTCCACATCGTCTGGAGCTGCTTGCCTGGCCCCTCGTGTGCATCAAGTTCGAGCGTTGCAGTTGCGGAGACCACCATTGAAGTTGATCAACAGCCCGCCTGGACAATGCCGGGCTCGCGTTCGCGAGGGCGGGAACGGTACCCATCCCAGGCACACGGGGAGCGTCGCAGTCCGTCGCCGTGGCGTCCCGCCTAGTCGCCGGCGCTGTGGCCGGAGGTGGCTCGTGCGTCCGAGCGGTCTGCCGTGACCGCGCCTGTTCCGTCCCGGCCGTCATCGTCGCTGCAGGCATCCCCCCGTCGATCGTCTCCGCGCCAGCAGTCTCCCCGGCGTCCCTCCTCTCCCCAGCGGTCTCAGCCAGCGAACAATCATGGGCGACGAAATCAGCCCCGGCGCTATTGGCGCGCGCATCATTCCCAGCAGCAGCCGGCTGATCCTGCTCCAGTGGCGGCCGCCGCCGCCACGGCAGCGGGGACGGGTGCGGCTGAGGCTGTCGAGCGGGCGCTAGCGGCGCTTCCTGATGGTGCGATGGCGCCAGGCCGCGTTCCCGCGCCTGCGCATGTGCGTCAGATACCCCCTCTGCTCGATTCGTCGCCGAATCCCCCAACTGCAGATCCCGCGTCATCTGCCGCACCGCCTCCCGCTCCGCAGCTGCCACAACCTCCTGCGCCTCCTCCTGGCGTTCCGTTCCCTCCGCACGCGGGTCCACCGGGGGTGTAGGGTGTTGCTCCCGACGGTCAGGCCCAGTTTCATCCCTTCCACAACGGGGGTCTTGCGCCACCCCTTCTTCCTAGTCAGCTGACGCTTCATCCGGCGCACCTCCCGCAACAGCCCGCGCCGCCTCCTGCGCCTCCGGTTCTTGTGCCTCAGCTTCCCGGGTTTGAGTATGCCTCCGGGCGTGCTCCGTTTCACCCACCTCTTGTCCCCGGCCCCATGCCTGCAGCTCCACTTGCGGTGGTGGGAGCAACAGAGGGGATGGATCTTGATGCTGGTGAGTCGGCCGCCGCGCCGATGCCTCGGGACATCCGCCCTCCACGTCATCGGTCCGTGGGGGTCCGCTTGAGCTCTCGCGTGATCGTGGAGCGGATCCGGGCGCCGATCCGTGCCCCTCCTTGCTCGATGCAGCTGTCGAGTGAGGTGCTTGTGCACTTGTGGCACGGGCGGGCGTTCGTTGAAGTGGTGACGAACGTGCTGGAGGCCGCGCTGGGGACGATGGAAGACTGCCCCGCTGCGCATTGTAGGATGGATGCTGATCGGACTGAGCGGTGCCAGCTTGCAGTGCGTGACCTGGTGCACGAGCTAGAGCGGACGTTGGTTGGGCCCGGTGGGGAGTTGGGCTTGGGCGTTGGGGAGGCATGCGTCCTCGAGGAGGTGGGGATGAAGGTGCAGTCGGCATCAGCTGTAGCTGTTGTAGACGGTTGCGTGTCCGCACTCCGCCTGGCCGATAAGGTTGTCGCCAGCGTGCTTCAGCTGGCGGGTGTGACAGAGTTTGTGTAGGCCGCTCGCGGCGGCGGTAGCATAGCGTTTGCGGCACGCTTGGGCCCTTGATGGTGGGCAGGCTGGTCATGTTTTCCTATGATGATCTAGCCTGATACTTGTATACTATTGTTTCCCTCTAAGGCAGCTCCAATGCAGGCTCCAGGATGGCAAGGCAGTCCCCGAGGGACATGCCTTCGCCCGGCAGCAACACAGGTGGGTTCTCCACCTGAGCCGCATAGTTGCACTTCGTCATGAAGCTCACCGACTGCGCCCGCTGCAGCGCCACGGACCACCGCTGGCGGAACTGATGCAGCAGCTTTGTTGCCTGGTAAGATGAGGGGGCCGCGTTGAAGAGCCTGCGCGCGCCGGTGTCGGCCAGAAGTTTGAGGAATTGAGGGACCTCCGCGCAGGGGCAGCCATAGGTATCAACGGCGAGAGGGAAGAATCCGACCCACGAGGCCGTTGAGTCCTCATAGTCGGAAATCTTTTTCTCTGCCGCCTCCCTGGCCACCCACCCCCTGCCCTTGACCGCGTTGGGATCCCGTGTGCTAATGGGGTCCGTGATGGTCACGTCCCCTATCCACACTGCTCCTGAGGACTTGTCCCGGATCGCAATGTCGGCTTTCTTCAGAGTGACGGGGCAGAACGCGGTCGTCTCACTGTGAGTCATGAAGTCAGCGTCGGCGGCCATGTGCAGGCACGCATCGCGCAGTTCATTGTGCGTGTTGGTCCGCCCCTTCCCTGTGTCACAGCGCAGCAGGTGGTTGGGCAGCCGCCTGTCAAGGATTGCCGTCTCCTTGCGGCAGTCACACGCGCCAGGTGCCGAGGAGGGTAACCCCATCCGGAACTGCAGCGCATGCGCAAAGTGAGCCGGGGCAAGCCGTAGTGTCGAGTTGAAGGGAACTGCATTGAGCCAGTCTCCTGCCCCATACCCTGAGAGTGAAAGCATGCGCTGAGTGTGCCCGCTTAGTGGGTTGAGTGGCATGATGCGTGTAGCCTGCACCTGCTCCGCGTAGCGCAGTCCGTGGACCGCGATTGCCAGCCCGTGCTGCAGCTTGACGCCCTTGGGATCAACTCGGTCGCTCTGCAGCAGCTCCTTCCCATCGTCCGGCAGTGACACCTCACACCTCTCCAACCAGTCAAAGAGCGGGGACGTGTTGGTGAAGGGCCCCACCATCCGGATCCGCGTTTCCGCCAAGGCGCCGACAGCCGACTCATCAATGGAGGTGAGCACGTGCTGCGCTTACGTGTAGCTTGCGAGGAACCCAACACTTCCCTCCACCGAGGGGTCTGTGAGACCCAAACCGCCGAGCGAGATGGGGAGTGACGCTTGCGCCCAGGTACGTGGAATCTCGGCCTCCCCCCGTGGGTGGCGAATGCCGCAGGCAGTCAGCAACGTCTCAAACAGCCTTTTACCCCAGTCTGACCACTCCTCGACTGGCAGGGCTGAAAGCGGCGTGGTGCGGGCGACGTAAGCGATCCGTCGTGAGATGCACCGTGAGAGCAGGAGGGAAGCCAGCTGCGGCTCCATCCGCGCGATTAAGGGCAGCGGCCCGCCCATGGTGTCGAGGCTGGCACGTAGGAATGCGGCAGTTGCGTCGCTGCCACCGATGAAGCTGCCAAGCACCTTCACCCCATCTTCAGTGTAAGGTACGCCCATTGGTAGCGCTGCTCCCTGCCCGCCTGCCTGAGACC